TGACCTGGAACCTTCCTCCTCAGATCTCAGCCTCCTGAGGAGCTGGGATGACAGGCGGGAGCCACCGGTGCCTGGCAATGAGTTCTTTCCTGACGTTCAGCAAATGCAGGATGAAAATAGAAAGACATAGTGTTCAGGCAGACAGAAGTGTGGTCATAGAGCATTTATTCTGTTTGTGTGGTCCAGGAGACACATGCTAACATCCGTAATATAATCAGAATAGGATCTGAAGGAAAGTCATTGTTTTACCAACCACAGGCTTCCATCGTGAACTTTAACCTAGCACACTTTCCACCCGTACCGGACCAGACATTTTCTCACATATTGCATATTTCTGTTCAGAACAGGGATAATAATAAATATATTTTCTGTTCAAATATCCACAATATGCTTTATTTAAGTCAGTCAGGTTACTTTTTGACCTAAAAGAAGAAAAACAGGAAAATAATTAGAAAGTCAAACACTAGAAACATACACACATGAAAATACTGACTGACAGTATGTCCCCTAAGGTCTGCGTTGTCGAAGGAAAATTCAGAGTTCATGTGGAGATGCTTGATTGTCAAGGGGTCTCAATTCAGCTTGTCAGCTTATGAGTACAGCGCATGTGGATCATGTCCAACCTCTCATCCTTCCCCCCAGGTCCCCCCCACCCTCTTCATGTTCTCTGTTCACATCCTCACATATACAGGTTAAATATTATGATGGGCGCCGTCCTGAGCACTTGTGCTACTCAGGAAACTGAGATCTGAGGTTCAGGGTTCAAAATCACCCAAGCAGGAAAGTTCATGAGCCTCTTATGTCTAAATAAATCAAGCCAAAAAGTTAGACGTGGAGCTGTGGCTCAAGTGGTAGAGCACTAGCCTTGAGCCAAAAAGCCCAGGGCAGCGCCCAGGCCCTGAGTTGAAGCCCCAGGAAAAAGCACACAAAGAAAAGAAAGTCTATAGTTTATGGCTGCTTGACAAATAAGGGTATCTGTGAATATGTGTGTGTGTGTGTGTGTGAGTGTGCATTGTGTGTGTGTGTGAGTGTGCATTGTGTGTGTGTGTGCATGTGTGTGTGTGTGTTAATACTGGATCTTAAACTTAGGGCCTGGACACTACATCAGAGATTTTCAGCTAAAGGCTGGTGCTCTACCACTTGAGCCACAGCTCCACTTCTTGCATTTTCTGGTCTTCAATTGAAAATAAGTGTCTCATGAACTTTTAGGTCACAGCTGACTTCAAACCATGATCTTCATAGCTCAATTTCCTGAACCACCAGCACCTGGCTAGGTGAACATTTTTTTACCTGATTAAATCCATTAAAGAAGCCTGACCCAGCCGGCATGTTTGGGGTATTTCCACAATCTACAATCGTCGTGAGGAAAACATAGTTAAAAAATAGACTGAAAACAATAAAGGAAAAATAGCAACTCACCAGATATTAGACATAATACTGTCATCCACTTTCACATCGTAGTATGAGCTAGATTGTCTAGGAGATGCTCCAAGCCAATAGTTGTTCCTCAGGGACTTTACAAAATCCTAAGAAACAAAAATGTTGTGCACAAAGTTATCTCTGGCTGGGTGCTGGTGGCTCACGCCTGTCATCCCAGCTACTCAGGAGGCTGAGATCTGAGGCTCATGATTCAAAGCCAGCCAGGACAGGGAAGTCCGTGAGACTCTTATCTCCAGGAAACCACCAAAAAAACCCCCCAAAAAAGCCAGAAGTGGAAAAATCTCTGGGACAGCGCCCACGTCCTGAGTTCAAGTCCTTGGACTTGCAAAACAAATAATTATCTCTGTACATACTTATGCATATCATCGTTCAAATGATTGTTTGTCACAGTATTTTCAAAAGTGCATAATTACTGGATGTGTGTGTGTGTGTGTGTGTGTGTGTGTGTGTGTGTGTGCGCACATGCATGCGCCAGCTCAAGGTTCTGATTTCAAGCCCCAGGTCTGGTATACACAAAAAAAGAAAGGAAAAGCAAGAAAGTAAGAGAGAAAGACAGAGAGGGAGAGAGACAGACACAGAGACAGACACAGACAGACTTATTTAGAGAAAGAATGATAGAGAAGGATCGAGAGAGACAGAGAGAGAGACAGACAGACTTATTTAGAGATAGGATGATAGAGAAGGATTGAGAGAGAGAGAGAGAGAGAGAGACAGAGAGAGAGATGCAGTCCAGTAAAGTGGGCACAGGTCAGTGTAAGAGGGATCTCAGAAGCCATCCTTGCAACCCAAAGGCCTCATATTTGGATCTTATTCCTGCTAACTATATCTTGTTGAGTCTGAAACTATCAGTGAGCCCCAGAGACAGGCCCAATGAAAGACACAACACGTTTCTCTCTTCTGGAAAGGATGAAGGAGCTTGAACTCAGGGCCCTGGCATTGGCCTGGAGCTGCTTCTGTTCAAGTTGCTCTACCACCTCAACCACAGCACCACTCCTGGTCTTCTTGAGTGGTTTGTTGGAGATGAGAGTCTCACGGAGTTTCCTGCCCGGGCCAGCTTCAAACCATGATCCTCAGGTCTCAGCCTCCTGAGTCGCTGGGATACAGCGGATAACGGTGCCTGGCTAAGAAATGTGTTCTTTGCCTGACGTGCAGGTCTGTAATGCCCCGCACATCACTCTTACAAGAACAACTAGAAATTAAAAGAGAGAAGCTGAGATCTGAAGACCAAATTCCAACACAAAGCCAGGCAGACAAACCCAAGAGACCCTTAGCTCCATTTACAGGAAGAAGCCACAAGTGTGGGTGTGGCTTCAGCCTTGAGCTCTTGTAAGCCAGCTGGGAAGGGGAGGCCCTTAGGTCAACAACAGGGCTGGAAAGCAAGAAGAAGGAAGGAAGAGAGGGAGGGAGGAAGGAAAAAGAAAGAAAGGGAGAGAGAGAGAGAAAAAAAAAGAAAGAAAGAAAGAAAGAGAGAGAGAAAGAAAGAAAGAAAGAAGAAAGAAAGAAAGAAAGAAAGAGAGAGAGAAAGAGAGAAAGAAAGAAAGAAAGAAGAAAGAAAGAAAGAAAGAGAAAAGAGGGAGAAAGAGAGAGAAGGGAGAGGGAGGAAGGGAGGGAGGAAGGGAGGGAAGGAGGGAGGGAGGAAAGGAGGAAGGGAAAAAGGGAAGGAAGGGGAGTGAAAGAAAAGAAAGAAGAGAATGAAAGAAGAAGACAGAGAAAAAAGAAGACAAAAGAGGAATGGAAAGAGGAGGAAAGGAACAGAGAAGAGGAGAAAAGAGGAGAGGAGAGAGCAGGTAGTGACTCACGATACAAGTCCTCTCCAAAATGTTCCCCCTCTTTCTGTCTGTGTGTCTGTGTATCTGTGTGTGTGTGTGTGTAACTGTGTGTGTATCTGTGTGTCTGTGTATGTCTGTGTGTATCTGTGTGTCTGTGTGTGTATATCTATGTGTGTAAGTGTGTCTGTGTGACTCTGTGTCTGTGTGTGTGTATCTATGTGTGTGTGTGTGTGTGTGTTCTGGTCCTGAGGTTTGAACTCAGGATCTGGGCGCTGTCCCTGAGCTTCTTTCTCTCAAGGCTGGTGCTCTATCACTTGAGCCGCAGCACCACTTCTGGTTTTCTGGTGGTTTATTGGGAATCAGAGTCTCACAGACTTTGCTGCTCAGGCTGGCTTTGAACCACGATCCTCAGATCTCAGCCTCCTGAGTAGCTGGGATGCCAGGCGTGAGCCACCAGCACTCAGTGGACCTCTTCTTATTCTGTGATAGGAAATGCGATTTCCTTTCTCACTAAAAAAGAGACTGGGAGACGTACCTGTGCATCCTTGTTGTTAATCTTCAGCAGGCTGGCATTGTGGTGAGCACATGACTTTTGGCTATTTTCCCACGTGTCAGGAACAGAAGACAGACGATAACATCTATTTGCATGCCATTCCCAATCCTGTGGACAAGGTTTACATTTGTGCCCTGGAAGGAAAGCGTCCTTTTATGTGAATAGATCTTCAGCCTCTTGCTATTTCCTGTCATCTCTATGGAACATTGACCAAGTTTACTGTGTTTTCTTCTGGTAGTTTTTTTTTGGGGTCTGGTTGTGGGGCCTGAACTCTGGGCCTGGGCGCTGTCCCTCAGCATTTCAGCTCAAGGCTAGCGCTCTACCACTAGATCCACAGCGCCACTTCTGGCTTTTTTTTTTTTTTCTGTTTATGTGGTGCTGAGGAATCGAACCCAGGGCTTCATGCATGCAAGCCAAGCGCTCTACCACTGAGCCACCTTCCCGGCCCTCTTCTGGTAATTTTTAATGTTCTTTTGTGCCAGTTCTGGGGCTTGAACTCAGGATCTCCTGCTCTTCCTTAACTTTTTCACTCCAGGCTGATCCTCTCCCATTGAAGCCTCAACTCTACTTCTGGCTTTTTGCTGGTAAACTGGAGAGAAGAGTTTCACAGACTTTCCTGCATGGGTTGGCTTTGAACCATGATCCTCAGAACTCGACCTCTTCAGTAGCCAGGATGACAGGCGTGAGCCACCAGTGCCCGGCTTCTACTGACTGAAATTCTGAACTGAGGCCATCTATAGAGAAGTATGTTTTCCTATCTGTCATTCACTGAGCTTCATAATAAATTGAGACTTCGCATACCCTTGAAAATAACAATACAAAAATTTTTAAAGGTAAATTCAGATGAGAGAAATTGTATATTTATACTTCAGTAAAACTGGAGTTTAAAGAAAACGCAGTTAGTCTGAATGCTCTTGAATAACCAGGACACCTGGGGGACTCCATGTTGTGTCGTTATGATTTTCTGATTTTCTTCTATGTGGAACTGTTGATGCATGGACTATGCTTCATGCCTTCCTTACTCAGTGGTTCTAGCTGGGCAGGAAAATCCATGAGACTCATATCAATATTATGAAGCCAAAGCCAGACTTGGTGCTGTGGCTCAACTGATTAAGTTCCATGAAGCCAAGAGCAAAAAAGCTAAGGGACACAGCCCAGGCCCTGAGAATAAACCCCAGCACCAACCCTCCCCCAACGCCTCCCCTCCACAGACAGACAGACAGACACACACACACACACACATGTACACATACACACACACACATACACACATGCACGCAGGCTACAGCTTTACTTCATAAGCAGCCCTCAGGGTAGTACAGAATTACCTTGCTCTTTTTTCTGTAGCTCACGACACAGCCTGGTGGCCATGGTTTGCAATGCGATAGAGAGGTTCTGGATCTTCTCAGAACTGTTGACATTCCCCATTTGTTGTAGGGACACGTTTCTCTGAAGATCTTCTTGGGCATTTTGCAGTTTATAAACTCAAATCCAGAAACAGAGAGAGATAGAATTAAAAAAAGACACATGAAAACTTTCACTATCATGACCTTAAGAGTTGTTTGGGGGCTGGGCAGGTGGCTCAGTGGCAGAGCGCTTGCCTTGCATGCATGAGGCCCTGGGTTCGATTCCTCAGCACCACATAAGCAAAAAGAAAAAAGCTGGAAGTGGCGCTGTGGCTCAAGTGGTAGAGCGCTAGCCTTGAGCTGAAGAGCTGAGGGACAGCGCCCAGGCCCAGAGTTCAGGCCCCACGACCGGACTCCCCCAAAAAACAAGTTGTTTGGTACAAGGAATACTGAAAAAGGCCCAAGGGGAACAGGAGGCGTGGCTCACGCGGTAGAACGCCAACTGTGAGGGGAAATAGTTGAGCAGGAGCGCTAGGCTCTGAGCCAGCAAAAGGGCAGAAATGGAGCCGTGGCTGAAGTGGTAGAGCACCAGCCTTGAGTGAGAAAGCTCAGGGACAGCGCCCAGACCCTGAGCTCAAGGCCAGGCCCAGCAGCACACACAAAAAAGGGGTGATACGTACTCACGCTCCCCAAGATTCCTAGTCCAAGGAGGAGGAGGAGAAAGAGGAGGAAAGTCAGACCCAGGGCTATTTTAGTCCATACATGGGAAGGTGCCGGAGGCTCTGTGGAACCAGAAGCAATAAAGAGTTCTCAGAACAGTGTTCAGTTCATTCATACATCATTCATTCATTCATTCATTCATTCATTCATTCATTCATGTTGCCTTTATTTCTCTCCTCCTAGGCAACCTGTAAAAGAACTTGTTAGACACTCTAGAACACACAAAAAAAATCCTGTTTTCAAGATTCACTGTAGTAAGGCCTGGGCCCTGCTGGCTCACACCCGTCATGCTACCTACTCGGGAGGCTGATCTGACCCCAGCCCCGGCAGGAAGGTCCGTGAGACTCTTACTCCAATAACCACCAAAAAACCAGAAGTGGCGCTGAGGCTCAAGTGGTAGAGCACCAGCCTTGAGCTGAAGAGCTCAGGGACAGCGCCCAGACCCTGAGTTCAAATCCCACGACTGACCAAAAAAAAAGAACAACACTCATCTACGTGAGTTTCCATTCTGACTTTAGCACCCATGATTGCAAAATGCATGAATAAGTAAAGCCAGGCTTCAAATGTTGTGTGGGAGGTTAATAAAGGAAGCTTGTGAGTCTACTTACTGCATCTTGAAAAAACACCTCTTTTAGGCAAAAATAAATCTTCTTTTCAGAAATAAGACTGAAAACGGTTGCAATCGATTACTTGCAACTCTGAAGATGGAACGAGAGAATCCATCAGAGATGCTGTTTTTCAGGCTGAAGGGATCAGGAGAGGGATGGGGGTGAAGTTCACTGGAATTTGGCTTTAACGTGTGTGAAGATGTTAACCAGGAACTTCCCCCTCCCGCCCCAAAGAGCTGAATAAGCCAATAGAAAGCTAGAGTATCAAAAACTCTTAGAATCCAGGTGCTGGTGACTTACGCTACTCAGGAGGCTGAGACCTGAGGATCGTGGTTCAAAGCCAGTCCAGGGCAGTAAAGTCCATGAGACTCTGATCTCTACTGAACCACCAGGAAACCAAAAGTGGCTCAGAGACAGCGCCCAGCCTTTGTGTTCAAACCCAGTGACTAACCAAATAGAAATGAAACAGCTCAGGAACAGCTAAAATTACGGCATGAGCCAGTGGCACCCAACACAATCTTCTTCTTCCTTCCTTCTTTCTTAGTTCCTTTTTTTTTGCCAGTCCTGGGCTTGAAATCAGGGCCTGGGCATTTTCCTGTAGCTTCTTCTGCTCAAGATTAGTGCTCTACAACCTGAGCCATAACACTCCTTCCAGCTCTGTGCATGTGGTACTGAGGAATTGAACCCAGGACCTCATGCATGCTAGGCAAATACTCTACCACTGAGCCACCCGCCCAGCTTAAATCACTACAGGATGTCAGTCCTCATCAAGGTGGGTAGGAAAGGCTATTTCCAACCAATGTATTTAGAACGTGATAGTCTAACCACACTTCTGAAACACAGGAAATCCATCTTGCGCCACAGTTGCTGAAGTGACTGTAACCAGAGAGAACTGAAAAAAAAATATTTATATTTCATTTCTTTAGATGGAGGAAAATGCCCTTCATGGAAAAGAACGACAGAGACAAGGCCTTCGCGTAGGTCAGAATGAGACATTCAGAGCTGCTTTGAGGCCGGGCACCGGGAGCTGATGCCTGTAACCTCAGCCACTCGGGAGGCTGAGATCTGAGGATCATGATACACAGCCAGCCCGGACGGGAAGGAGCGTGGGACCTTTTATTTCCAATGAACCAGCAAAAAGATCAACGTGGAGCTGTGGCTCAAGTGGTAGAGCACCAGCCTAAAAGTCACGTGAGAGCGCTTGGCCTTAAGTTCAAGCCTTAGTACTGGCATGCACAAGCGTATGAGAGAGCTCACACACACACACACACACACACGCACGCACGCACATGCACACACACACACATGCACGCACACACACACATATACGCACACACACGCACGCACACACACATGCACGCACACACACATGCACGCACACACACGCGCACATACACACACGCACGCACACACATGCACATACGCACACACATGCACACACGCACACGCATGCACACACGTGCGCGCACACACGTGCGCGCACACATGCACACACGCATGCACACACATGCGCACACACGCACGCACGCATACACACACGCACACACACACATGCACACACACACAGAGTCTGGCTCCTTTGGATAATAAGAATCCGCATATCACAGGTGGTAAACAACCTCTTTCTTCATGGCCCTGTCTGTCTGTCTCTCTGTCTCTCTGTCCCTCCGTCTGTCTTTCTTTGTCCTTTGGTCTGTCTCTCTCTGCCTCAGTCTCTCTCTCTCTCCGTCCATCCTCATCTGCGTCTCTGCCTCTGTCTGTCTCCCGACCTTCCCAGCCTCCCTCTTCTTTCTCTCTTACAGAAATGAAAGTAAAAAGCAAATAACAAAATAAATTAAAAGATGGCTTCCCTGGACAGCATGTAATCGTGAGCCACAGAACTGGACACTTTGTACAATTTCAGAACACTTTCCTATAGATCATAATATTCAAAAGTAGAACATTTACACGTGATTGGTGGTTGTGTGATTTCACAAAGCCAGGGTTTTGATAAAAGAGAAGCATTTGGGGAAGTTTAATTGGCTAAGGACCCCCTCCACTCACTGAACCCCAAGGTGGAAGTCTCGTTTTCATCGCCCACCGTACCACACACTCCCAACTCCACATTCGTACCTTTGGTCTCCACTGGGTCCAACTCCTGGATCTTCTGCGTCTTTCCCGAGTTCTGGAAGTTTAGATCCGCGTAAGTGACTTCTTCAGACATGGAGGGACACGGAAAGCACACGGAATGAAATGCGGTTGTGAGGAGAAGGCAGAGCTGAGTGTTGGACGTTGGACGGAAGGTGGACGCTGAGGCTTTGGGATCATCAGCAGCCGCCGCCCTTCCCCAGCTGACCCTGTGTCTAACCCAGCCGAGCTGATCGACTCCCCGTCTGTGGTCTGCGGCAGAACTGGGTAATTGTGGCATGAGGAAACATTTCTCTTCACCAAACTCTCTTCCTCTTTTTTATTGGTACATACGTCACCTGCAGGAACTCGGTTTGTTTTTTTTCCTGTTGGTACTGGGTTTGAGTTCAAGGCCAGCTACTCTGGCTGTACTTTGTTGCTCAGGGCTGGTGCTCCACCACTTGAGTCAGGCCTCCCATCCAGCATTTTGCTGGTTAGCTAGAGGTAGAGTTGGGAGGACCTGTCTGCCTAGGTTGACTTTGAACTGGGTCCTCCAAGTTTCAGTAGTTAAGATAACGGGCATGAGCCACCAGGTCCCAGCTCACAAATTTGTCCTTCTGTTTCTTTCTTGGGGTTTTAATGGTGTGTGTGTGTGTGTGTGTGTGTATGTGTGTGTGTGTGTGTGTGTGTGCTGAGACTTGAACTCAGAGCCTTGATACTCTCCCTTAGCCATTTTGCTAAAGACATGATCTACTTCTGGAGCCACAGCACCATTCCTAGCTTGTTGCTGGGTAATGTAAGACCAGAGTCTCATGGACGTTTCTACATACACTTACTTCGAACCGGGGCGTGAGTCACTGGTGTCCAGCTGTCCTTGGAAATCATAGTCACATTTCTTGACTGGCATAGGAGTGTTGCTCAACACTGATTGCTTCTGGATTCATCTGACTTTCGTTAGTAAATCTGCCTTTGAATTTTTAATGTGCCTTCCTGCGTGCAAAGACAGCTGTAAGTTTTAGGATTGCAGCTGCAGGTGTTTGTTTGGAAGGAGCATGTGTCTTGATCCATGTCCCCCCTTCCACCACCTCCCCAGCCTTTCCCACCCTCCCCTCAAGATCCCTTTCCACCTGTGGATATTGAGTGTGATGGCTGGATTTGCCACCCTTCCCCTCTCCCTTCATCCGTCCCCCTCCCGTTAAAATTCCCCCCCACCAAAAGCATCCTGGTTTTCATTTTGCTCGATTGTCAGCTCTTTGCTCAAAGGATTTACCGCATGGGAATTGCACAATAATTTTAGGGGCTGGGAAGTTGGCTCAGTGGTAGAGCGCTTGCCTTGCATGTATGAGGCCCTGGGTTCGAGTCCTCAGCACCACATAAGCAAAAAGAAAAAAGCCGGAAGTGGCGCTGTGGCTCAAGTGGTAGAGCGCTAGCCTTGAGCTGAAGAGCTGAGGGACAGCGCCCAGGCCCAGAGTTCAGGCCCCACAACCGGACCCCCCCCCAAAAAAAGTAATTTTTGTTACTATACAAAGGAATATTTCTAAAGGATTCAATAAAATACCCACTTTAGTAAGGGAGAGGGTAACATTTAAATAAAACATCCTCTCCGCAAGAACTTCTAAAAAGCAAACAGAAAAAAAAAATAATCTTGGAGCCAGGGGCTGGTGGCTCACGCCTGTCATCCCAGCTACTCAGGAGACCAAGATCTGAGGATTGAAGTTCAAAGCCAGCCCAGGCAGGAAAGTCACTGAGAATCTTATCACCAATGAACCACCAGAAAAGTGGAGGTGGAGCACAGGCTCAAAGTGACAGAGTGCTAGCCTTGAGCAAAAAGAGCTCAGGGACAGCGCCCAGGCCCTGAGTTCAAGTCCCACCACCCACACAAATAAAAAAAAATCATGGGAATATGTTAACTAGGTCACCTGAAACCAAAATGAAGAAAAACTCTCAACTATTGAAGAAAAAAAAAGGACTAACCTGGAAAAGCATACTTTGAGATTAGAAGTGTTAAAATTATACACATGCACTCACACACGTTTTAAGTACGGTCTAAATGAAGTCAACCACGCATCAGTGGCTCACACCTGTAATCTGGGGTGGAGGGGGGGGGGCATGGCCTTGGTTCGAAGGCTTGAACTCAGGGCCTGGGCGCTGTCGCTGAGCATTTTTGCTCAAGGCTGGTGCTCCACCACTTGAGCCACAGCACCACTTCCAGCTTTTTCATGGTTCACTGGAGATAGGAGTGCCCAGGCTGGCTTTGAACCATGATCCTCAGATCTCAAATTTAGATCGCAGGTGAGCTGGGTGCTGGTGGCTCACGCCGGTAATCCTAGGAGGCTGAGATCTGAGGATTACGGTTCAAAGCCAGCCCAGACAGGAAAGTCTGTGAGACTCCTATCTCCAATGAACCACCAGGAAATTGGAAATGGCACTGTGGCTCAAGTGGTAGAGCACCTGCCTTGAGCTGAAGAGCTGAGGGACAGCGCCCGGGCCCTGAGTTCAAGCCCCGGGACTGAAAACAAATTCAGGTCCTCATTGCACATTCTTCTATGGTGTGAAATTTCACTACCTTTAAATGTTCTGTTCATCACAATCGAGCCATGGAACCATCTCAAATATGGATTGCTTCTTCATGTCGAACACATCACACATTTCCTGTCGGAGAATCTCATGGGCTATCCTGGCCTCCAACTGAGATCCTCAGATCTCAGCCTCCGGAGTGACTGGGATCAGAGGCGTGAGCCCCCGTCCCCAGCCTGACACATCACTTATTGGAAGAGATCTCAGAGCAGAAGCGAAGTGGTTCCTTCTTTCTCCGCTTCCCGTGAACGTCTTGTGCAATGCAGCACTGAGGCAGGCCGCAGAAGACCCGGGGAGCGCGTGCCATGACTCCGCCTGTGTTTCCTGTGCTCAGCAACTGCCTCCTGAGGAACCCACAGGTCACGGAAGGTCCTGGAAGGACGCCCTGGAGGGAACTCTTGCTTTTCCCCTTCTTCTGCCCTCCCAGCAGGTCACCATGGCAACCACCAGGCCCTTCGCATTGGACCGTGTGTGTCCATCCCCGAGTCCTGAATGCACACTGTTCCTTCAGAGGAGGACCCCGAGCCCCGTCCCCCAAGGCAAATCCTTCCGTGTATAAGAAAGACATGACTGGAAGAGGCCAGGGAAACAGATCGTGTAGCGGACAGAGACACACACACACACACACAGACAGAGGGACACAGAGGGGCAGAGAGACAAGGCAAGGGACAGAGAAGGAAATAGGGAAAGACCAAGACACAGGCCAAGAGATAGAGCCAGCTAGAGACAGACAGACAGACAGACACAGAGCATGTAAGAGAGAGGGACACAGAAGGATCGACAGCAAGTTCAAGAAAGACAGACACACGGAGAGACAGACAGAGAATGTAAAGACAGACACAGAGACGCAGAGAGAGAATCAAATCATGCTTACCTAAGGTAAACACATAGCAGTGTTTGGGTGGCTCATGCCTATATTACTGGCTACTCAGGAGGCAGAGATTTGGAGGACTGTAATTGGAAGCCAGAACAGGATCAATCGTCCATGAAACTCCATCTCCAAAATAATCAGCTAAAAGCAAGACTGGAAGCGTAGTTCAAGGGTTAGAGCCACAACTAAACAAGGGAGCTAAGTCCCTGATTTCAAACTCCAGCACTGCCAAAACAGAAATAATGCTAAAAAAAAATATGAACAAAATGTAACCATTTTAAAGATATATACATGGCTTCCATGTTTAAAATGTTATTAGAAAATATTTCCCTAGGAAGCAGTTAATGAGATAAATTTTAAAAAAATAACTAATACAACCGTAAGATGCCAGAATCTATCTTATTTCTTGGTTTATTTATTATTTGCGGTGACAGTTCTGGGGCTTGAACTCGGGGCATGGGCACAGTCCCTGAGCATTTTTTTTTGCTCTTGGCTAGCACCCTATCACTTGAACCATGCTTCTAGCTTTTTGGGGAGAGATTAGCATCTCATAGACACTTTTGCCCAGGCTGGCTTCCAACCGCGATCCTCAGATCTCAGCCTCCTGAGTAACTAGGATGACAGGTGTGAGCCACCTGCATCTGGCTAGAAATGTTAAAATTTCCTTTTACCCAACAGGAAATGACAAAGTTAAGTTTATAGACAGAAAGGAACCACTAACCCACAGATCAGCCACATTCAAAAAGATGGGAAAAAAATGCCCAGATGGATAAACCTGCAGTGTTACAAATAACCGTGGTTCAGGGTCAAGAGTAGTGACACAGGCCTGTAACCCCCACACTGCAGAGGCTGAGGTAGGAAAGATCCTAAGTTCAAGGACAGCCTGGATGGTGTGAAGCAACCCCTGTCTAACAGCCAAAACCAAACAACAAAATGAGGGTGTAGTTCAGTGTGCACACAGACGCTCTCTGACTCATTTATAGATTCAACTCACTCAGAACACAGATTTCTGTTCCCACCCGTGTATGATCTGCATCATCTCAAGTCTTTGTGGGCATCTTCAGTCTTCTGTCAGAACACTCCCAACACGCGCAAGTGTGTGTGTGTGTGTGTGTGTGTGTGTGTGTGTGTACTGATTACAGGAACTTGAACTCAGGGCTTAGAGCAACAGCTTCAAGGGAAAAAGCCAAACAAGAGAGCAAGGATCTGAGTTCTCCATTTCAGATCCGTCTTCATCTTGGGTTGGACTGAGCAAAGCAATTCGAAGGAAACCCAGGAGTCGATGATTAGCATCCATTCCGGAGCTGGTGACTCTCAGTAACATGGATTTACGGTTGAATACAGGAAGTGCAGGAGCCCCAAGGCTGTAAGCGATGTTCCTGGAACCCTGAGTCTGTGAGCCGTGTGTTAGGACCAAGGTTAAATTAAACCAATTGAGCATTAATTAAACTAAGGAAGAAGGAAACGTAACTCTCAGAATTAAGTCCCGGGACCTACAAATAATACGTGAAAACATCAGAAAGGGGAACAAACCTGTGGTTTGCCATTTACCAATTGCAAAGCGAGTCAAAAGAGGGCTGCAAGGCTGACCACCAATGTCCCAATGTCTGTTTTCTGTGAGGATGCTTGCTCAGCTCATAGGCTAAAACGTGGAACTT